CTCGAGCGCCACCTGAAAGAAGCTGAAAGGCCTCCTTGGGGGTTTAGGGTTTAGGGTTTAGGGCTGAGGGCTTAGGGCTTAGGGTTTAGGGTTTAGGGTTTAGGGTTTAGGGTTTAGGGTTTAGGGTTTAGGGTTTAGGGTTCAGGGCTTAGGTTGGGGCTGTTCAGCTGAAATCGCCCCTTTTTCCCGCGGTTGAGCCCTTTAGGGCTTGATCTGGGTTCCAGGGCGATACCCTGCCCGACCATGGGGACCAAATCAAGGCCCGAACACTGGGCCATATACCCTAGCCATACTACTACAATTCTGAGTCATGTGTATGAACCAGAATATGAACCATAAACTCTTTTCGGGTTCATTTGGTCTCCCAGGTACACGCTGTCTCCGCCCTTGTGCAACCAGGCCTCTATAGACCGTCGGGCATTTGCCAAGCTCGAACCAAGACACTGGTGGCCCCGGACAGAGCTAGACAATCACTGACAGCAAGTACAGGCACTAAGTACGAAAATCGACTGCAGTTCTCTATAAAAGAACAATACTGGCGACCTTCTCAACATTTGAGACCGGTTCAATCTCTACAGGTACAAGCCTACTGGGAGGGTTCACACGTAGAGCAAGAAAGCTCGGGTGTAGGGTTACGGGGCACCAATCTATGCCCCCCAGGCATATCTGTGCTTTAGCTCCCACTTCTGAGGGGCAAAAAAAGCAAAGACATTGGCGCGCCTTCTCAGTCTGCCCTCACCGCTGAGATACGGGGGTTTACGAACATGGGGGTTACCCTTTTTGGGGGTTCCTAGAATAAGGGTTAATAGTTTTTTGGGTTTGTTAAGCGGACCCTATTTTGGGAAATACCCATACTTAAACGGACTTGAGACGTCAGAGTCATGATCTGAGCATGACCTGAGCGAGGCTGTACAACTGTCTGACCGTGTGTCCACACCGACGAGAAGCCCTCATTGATACCGTGCAGCACTCGCATTCACTCACCGCGATGCGCTCACGGTTCCCTGCGCAAGGATGTGTACCCGTCTGGTTTCGCCTCAGAATCAATCAATCGCATGCGTGCGCAAGGAGTAGTGTTTGGCACCACCCTGCACCTATGAAGCTTGCGCAGGTGGCAGGCACATGTACGGATCACCCGACGCGGCCAAGACGCCGGGAACTTGATGTGTCGTTCTTCGCAGAAGTAGTAGACAATGCAATTGGTTCTGAGGTGACAGCTCGCGCTCGAGAGCTTCGGCTTTCAAGCTCTGGGATCGCATGCAATCTCAACGGCGTGTCACAGCGTCGAAGCAAGCAACTGAAAAGTTGCGAAGGGAATTGGGGAAGGCTCTTGGCGATGTGCCACAACATGCTTCCTAAACCCTAAACCCTAAACCCCAAACCCTAAACCCTAAACCCTTCCGGCAAACCAATGTCACTGGGATCTCAGCCAGAGTTGACTCGGTTCTGGCCGGGCATCAGAGTCAAGCTGAGAAATGTGAGGCATTCCAGGGCAAACCTCAGAGGGTTTAGGGTTTAGGGTTTAGGGTTTGGGGTTTGGGGTTTAGGGTTTAGGGTTTAAGGACGTAATATAGGGGCCTGAGTCATAAGAACAGAGTTTTGGGGCGTTCTTCTAGTATGATTACAAAAGGGACCCTAAGGGAATATTCTTAGTAATTATTCTAAACCCTCAACCCTAAACCCCAAACCCTAAACCCTATAGGCCTATAGCACACTCAGCTTGCACTCAGCATGCGGTGCTTCTGGACGGCCCCTGTATGAAAGAACTCTCCATTGTGCCAGGCTGCCCGACCATGCGCAAGACGCGCGCCCAGCCGTAAGCTGTGTCTTTCAGCACCTCAGGCCGGACGTAGGGTTTAGGGTTTAGGGTTTAGGGTTTAGGGTTTAGGGTTTAGGGTTTAGGGTTTAGGGTTTAGGGTTTAGGGTTTAGGGTTTAGGGTTTAGGGCCTAGGGTTTAGGGGTTAGCTGCTGACATAGCTGGACGCACATTCACGACTCCAGATGCAGGCTGCACCATAAGGAGGGGGCATATCGTCCGGCGAGGATGTCCATCACAACCTGGTTCCCCAGATTCTCCCCAAAGCCGTGCTCGATAAATCTCGGTTCGGAAGGAAGCTTTGCTTTCAGAAATCTGGCATGGATTGGGATGTTGTAGGGTTAAGGGTATTAGGGTTGTTTAGGGTTTAGGGTTTAGGGTTTAGGGTTTAGGGTTTAGGGTTTAGGGTTCAGGGTTTAGGGTTTAGGGTTTAGGGGTTAGGGTGTTTTTGTCACAATGCCCGACCCCCCACTACAATCTACTTGGACAGGAGCCCGCATTTCTAGCAAAGCGACCAAGCTTGGAGGGTTAAGTTAGACCTGAACAGGCTTTGAGTTTCGGAACACAAGCTGACATCGGACATTCGTCCGCAGCTCGCACCAGGACTGACTAGACCCGACATCACCTTGCCAGACCTTGCCACTGGCGTCTCTCCATAGGCCTAAAACCCTGAAGCTCTGTAAGCGGCGACCTTGTGCTGAGATTCTATGGAGATCCCGTGCTTCAGTTGCAATCCCGGGCGAGCTTTAGGGGCATGGAAAGCTCCCGCTCGCAACGAACCTTCACAGTGTGGCTAGGTGGTATATGGCAGTGCGATTGTTTCACATGTGCAAGGCTCCGAGTTGAGCTATTGTGTGTCGCAAGCCAAAGTCCATGTGAGGGTGGAAAAACCCAAACCCGAACCTTAAACCCTAAACCCTAAACCCTAAATCCTGAACCCTAAACCCTAAACCCTAAATCCTGAACCCTAAACCCTAAACCCTAAACCCTAAACCCAAAACCCAAAACCCTAAACCGCATAGCTGCAGTCCAGGAGGCTCCCTTCTTTCCGACGCCGTGGCCTGGACCCAATCATCAGTGCAGCAGATGAAGCCTCAGTAGCCCCGTAACCATCGTAGAATAAAGGTACCCTTTTTAGGGTTTAGGGCTTTGTTTTGAGGGTTTTGGGTGTGAGGCTTGGCTACTGTATAGGGGAACCCAGAACCAAAACACCGTGTTACCACATTGTAGGAAGGGTACCCTTTTCTGGGTTGGCTACTTTACCATGGACCCAGAACCAAAAAACAGTGTAACCATAGTAGAATAAGGGTACCCTCTTTTTGGGTTGGTTACTTTAACTAGGGAGGCTCGAACCCCAAAAAAAGGGGACGGGTCCCCCTGAACCCTAACCCCTGAACCCTAAACCCTAAACCCCTAACCCCTAAACCCTAAACCCTAAACCCCTAACCCCTAAACCCTAAACCCCTAAACCCTAAATAACCTCTAAACTACCAAGAAGCCAGGGAAGCCATGTCGCACGTTCAGGTCGTTGCACATCTCCTGACGAGAGCTGAGCCGGGCGCTTCAGAGGCTCAATTCGAAGGTTTAGGGTTTTAGGGTTTAGGGTTTGGGGTTTGGGGTTCGGGGTTTGGGGTTTGGGGTTTGGAGTTTGGGGTTTGGGGTTTGGGGGTTGAGGTTTGGGGTTTGGGGTTTGGGGTTTAGGGTTTAGGGCCCCCACCATACTGAAAGAGTTCACAAGCCGATTCGGCATTCTGTTTCGAGCTCCCTACATACTGCGGACAAGGCGCTGTCAGGCCGAAGAGAACTGAGAAAACCACACCTGGGTTCTGGGATGTTTCCCTATACAAACAGGGCTTAGGGTTTAGGGTTTAGGGTTTAGGGTTTAAGGGAGTAACTCAGGAATGAAAAGGGTGCCCGTCTTTCAGGGCCTGCATAAAGGAACCTAAGCCCTGAAAAAGGGGAATAAGGCCCTACTCTGACTCCTAGATAATCAGTTCCGAGGAACCCAGCCAGAATGCAACCCACCGGAGCTTCTTCTCCTTGGTAGCCCAGTAACCAAGGGTACCCTAAACCCTAAACCCTAAACCCTAAACCCTAAACCCTAAACCCTAAACCCTAAACCCTAAACCCTAAACCCTAAACCCTAAACCCTAAACCCTAAACCCTAAACCCTAAAACCCTTTCTTAGGTTGCCTACTTTCATAAGGGAACCTTGCACCGCCAAAAAAGGGGGAAAAAGGGCACCACTGGACTACCAAGTCTCCGTGCTGCCCAGCTTGAGCATCTGCAGGCACTGTAGCCTGCGCAGTGATGTGTAGGGTTTAGGGTTTAGGGTTTAGGGTTTAGGGTTTAGGGTTTAGGGCTTAGGGCTTAGGGCTCAGGGCTTAGGGCTTAGGGTTTGGGGTTTAGGGTTTGGGGTTTAGGGTTTCGGGTTTTAAAGCTTGCAGCGTTGAAGGCCGTCGCAAAACCTTCACAGTCTGCAAGAAGGGCATCTGCAGTGATGGAGTGGCGTAGGCCAGGGGACCGATTTCAGATTTCATATCTGCTCCCATACTACCATTTCAACAAACTGATGAGATTTTTGTAATGATGTTTAAGCGTTGCCTATGGTTCCTTTCTCTTACTATCTTGGTACGGTCGCTTCGAGATAGGTCCAAAACACCACAGATGCGAAAAAAAAAGTTATGCACATTATGTTGCTCAGATTCTCGTGCGCTCATCGTTTTCCGAATTCCGTTTCATAAACCAAAGTTTAAAAATGAAATTCATTGAAAATACCTCCCCCCCACCTGATTAGAAGTCTCGAAGCTCTGATTGTAATGGCCAAGCACTTACAAACCCTGCTGTGCTGGATGCATAGCGTGCAGCCGCGTGTCTCCGAACTCAAACACCCGACGATCCTGAATCACAAGCAGGTTTAGGGTTTGGGGTTTAGGGTTTTGGGTTTGGGGTTTAGGGTTTAGGTTTAGGGTTTAGGGTTTAGGGTTTAGGGTTTAGGGTTTAGGGTTTAGGGTTTAGGGTTTAGGGTTTAGGGTTTAGGGTTTAGGGTTTAGGGTGTACGGTTTAGGGCTTAGAGCCAGTTTATTTAGGGTTTAGGGCCAGTGTAGGGTTTGCGGCTCATGTTCCGCACATTCCCAGTCTTCAGAACAGGTTTACACTTCGATGATCTTGTCAGTCAGGGCGCAGGATGCATGCCCAAAACAAGTGGACCAAGTTGTTGATCATGTACCCGTACTCCTGGCGTGATGCAGGACAACATGTGGTGCAAGAAGCCTGGTCGAGCTCACAGAAGCCGACTGGACAGGAAAGACCTCACGGAAATGACCCTAAACCCTAAACCCTAAACCGTAAACCCTAAACCCTAAACCCTAAACCCTAAACACTAGACCCTGCTCTTGAGTCACAAGCTGTGCTCCTCATTGGGTCCAAAGACCTTCTTTGCCACGTGCGAAAGCAACACTGACCAAACATGCTGCTCAACAGCTGGCTGCGGCCAATAAGAGCACAAGGGGTTTAGGGTTTAGGGTTTAGGGATTAGGTTTTAGGGTTCGTCAAGCTTCTCAACATAAATCCGGGCGCGACAGGGACAAGGACAATCACGCTGACAGCAATGGCCGCGATGACGCAGCGTGCGAGCGGAAGCCTCGTACGGGTGCAATGATGTTTGTCACGCTGCCACTGCCGTGATGCAAGACACCAACTTGCCCTGCACGCCCTCATGATCACGCTCTGGCAAGTCACATCGGCTCCCTCTGCTGCCAAGAGACCACACGGCTTCTTCCACGCAGCAGTTGCTAAGCATCCAGGGATACTTGGATGCCTGCCATGGCATTTGATTTAGGGTTTAGGTTTTAGGGTTTAGGGTTCAGGGTTCAGGGTTCAGGTTTTTAGGGTTTAGGGTTTAGGGTTTCAAAGCCCCTCCGCGCAGTGGCCCTGCACGACCCACAAGCATAACTTTTGGTAGTATTGGACCTCTAAATCCTGAACCCTAAACCCCGAACCCTGAACCCTAAACCCTGAACCCTTAATTAACCCTTAATCCTAAACCCAAAAAAGCCCAAAACCCATCTAAACCCTAAACCCGAAACCCGAAACCCTAAACCCTAAACCCTAAACCCTAAACCCGAAACCCTACCTCAAGCAACTATGGCCGCGTTCGGCAATGCTGCTCAGCGACCATCATCGACAGGGAAGCCCCGAACATGAAGCCGATGAAAGTTCTTGAAGTTCCCACACCAAAGTCTGAGAACCTCATCGTCGGTTTAGGGTTTAGGGTTTGGGGTTTAGGGTTTCGGGTTTGGGGTTTGGGGTTTAGGGTTGAGGGTTAGGGTTTAGGATTTCGGGTTTGGAGACGATCTTACACACGCAAACTACGGCACATGCAGTGCTCTGATCAATCAAGGCAGGACTGATGCGAGGAAATCTGCATGGGTGAGTTCTCGAAACTATTGCCCCTTTTGGGGTTGAAATTCAAAATATTTTGGGCTCGGGACCATAATTGTGGGAAGTGACCAACTCATGCACATTGTAGCCCTTGCTGATGGAAAACAAATCTCAGCTGCTCCAAAATGACTTGTCTGTGCCGGTTTAGTAGGGGGATGTAAGGTACCTCATTCCCTCAATCCCTACTAGGAACCAGGAAGTAAAGTACCAATTGTCTCCACCCCCACCCAACCCCCTCTATACTGCCCCCCCCCCCCCCAGGTTCCCCCCTTAAATAACCTTAATCAGGCTTAATTTTTCAAACAGCCTTAATTCTGGGTGGAACCTAGGGGGTAGTTTTGAGGGGGGTCGTATGGAGGGGGGGTGGTAAAGAGGGCAACCCCTGATATCGTGAGCTGTGATAGTGCTGTGCCTCGCCGGAACACTTGCGACTGGACATCGTTGGGCGAAGCAGCTTCCATGGATGTTTCGGGTTAACCCTAAACCCTAAACCCTCAACCCTCAACCCTAAACCCTAAACCCTAAATTTAGGGTTCTGCTACCCTATCAGATCCAGAGATGCCTGGACATGCGGGGATCCCACAAGCGTCAAGGCTGCCCAAGTCCACATCCCGGGCAAGACCAAGACTAACTTCCTTTCGCGGATCTTTCGCGGACGACCCCACGTCATACACATGCAAATCTTAACCCTAGACCCTAAACCCTAAACTCTAAACCCTACTTGTTAACCTATCATTAATAAACGGGGTGGGAACTATAATATTCGGCCGGCCCAAGAGCTTTTTCAATTAGCTGTGGTTCCAGGCTCATATGTCCACACAGATTTATATTGGGGGCTCCGGTGAGAACGATAAGACGGTGACAAATTCTCAAATTCGGCGGGCCAGGACTCCAAAAATATTTCTGCAGATTGCTTGCTGTAAGAGCCGCAGAGCGAAAAGAGCTGCACAGAGCAGGCCAGAACCCTTCAAGCCACAGCAGACCCTTCGAGACAACAAACCCTCCCCAGACCCCCAAGACCCCCAGAAGACCCCCAGAAGACCCCCAGAAGACCCCCAGAAGACCCCCAGACCCCCCGACCCCCAGACCCGCCAGACCCCAAGACCCCCAGCCTCCCAGACCCAGAGACCTTGTGTTTACCACCCTCAAACTCACCGGATGCAAAACAGATTTTTGTGTTGTTGAGGGGGGGTTGTGAAAGACATGTCACATACCCCCCCTGCTGCAGCCGTGTATGTTCT